CGGGTACGACGCAGACTGTTTTGCAACCACCGTGCCAGCGCTTCCGATCTGAATCGCAAACGCCCCGAAGAGGTTCCCCATCCCGGCGCCGCCAGGCGCCGACCAGTGAGGGAGGCGCGGCTCCACCCGTGGAAGCCGGCAGCGAGTGGACCATGTCCCACTCTGCTCCCTTACGGCAAGAGCTGTTCCTGGCGGAGAAAGAGCAGACAGATCCAGGAGGCTTTGGGTTTGGCCTTCGGCTTGGCCCCAGGCTGGCCCTTTCCACTCTTTTCCTCCTCCTTTGGCTCAGGGTGGAAGCCTCCCGCTCCTTCTTGGTTGCAAGGGCGCGCTTCCGCTGCTCCTCGTCGTGGGAGTACGGGCACGCGTCGCCCTTCGGACAGTTACCGTGGTCTTTGAAGTGCAAGCAAACAAAATCCTTTTGCCTTTACCTCCACCAACCCCACCGCTCTTCCCGGCTCCGGTAGCAAGGGCCGAAAGCGCCGCCTTCGCTGCTTTCAGCTCCTTCTTCAAGTTCTCTACTTCCTTGCGCGCTGCAGCCAGGTCTAGGGTCCTCCGTGGAGGCCTGAGGCCGTGTACACGCTGCTAGCGGTCACGCGGTGAGCAGCTTCTCTCTGCTCGTACTCCAAAACGACTTTGTGGGCCTCTTCCCAGTTCTGGGGCCCACCAGACCTACGCCTGCGCCGTCACTCGGCCACAGTCGTTTATAACCGCGTAACTCCTTTTGCAGATTCGGTGACATCTTCCGGAGATAGGAGAGGAAGAGCTGACGCGTGGCCTTCCCGGAGACCCACGCTCGCGAGCTCCGCTGTCGAAGCCTCAGATATATAGCGGCTCGAATTGATGCCCGGTTTGCCTTCCTTTCATGAGGGCGACGTGATCCGCGTCCACCCTCATCTCCTTTTCCTCCCTGCTTTCCCCGAAACAAAGTGGCGCTGCTTGATGCGTTCGTGGACCGCCTGGGGTTTGTCCGTGACCTCGCCAGTCTTGAACTGCCGCAGGCTGCGCTATGGCAAACCTACGACGTTACTGCCGGCTCACTTGAGCCAAAATGGGTAACGAATTTCGAATATACAACATGCATAAAACAACAGCACATGGATGTTGTTCTGAATTAAAGGAGCCATGCCGAGGCATTAGGACAGTGCTTGCGCCCGCCCTTGCGCCGTCTTGCAGGCGCAAGGGTTTTCACTCACGTCAGCATAACCCCGTCACAAGCAATTACTCATGCTTCAAAGTAAAGCGGTAACTTGACATCCACATGCATTTTGACTTAGTTAGTGCTTGACGGTTGAATTGACCTTGATCTCAACATCCCGGATGCTAAATTCAAGAGGAATACAATCTACCTGGAAAGCCTAGTTGCCGGAAATAATAGGAAACCAACGAACGTCGCTTTTGGCGGGTTGGCACTCTAAGCAGTGACTGTTATGTTTGGGGATTTCAGGACAAATCGTGATTAGAGCTCAAAGAAATGTCATCACTCGGTCGATTGCTTCATTTTCTCAGCCATCTGCACGAAGATGCATCGCCGCATTCACAAGGTATTTTCGGATTGTCTGAGCATGGACACTTCGAATGGAAACGGAGGTGGAAAGTGTGGCGATTTTGCCAATCCAGTCTTCGTCCATTTGGCGGGCATCAGCCACCGGATTCCAGGTCCACACTCGGTTCGTCTCGAAGGCTTCTGCAAATCCTTCCACTATATGCAAAAAAAGCATGCAGCTTCGGTGTCAGCTTAAATCTTGTTTTGCCCATGCGGTAGGCACACTCAGCTGACTGTAGATAGCTCTTGAGGAAATCCAATCCTGCTTGTGCCGCCCTTTGGCACCGGGGTCGTGAGAGCCACAAACCAGAAGAATACAGTATCTCCAGGAATGTGTTCGCCGAACGAAGAGCCCGAAGTATGTTTTCCAAATACGGATCCGGAGCTGCAAGTTGAGCCACATGAGTTTCCAAAAAGCTTTGCAAAAACGAACACACAGCTCTGGTATCGGCTCCTTTGAACCATGTCCTCGGATATGATTTCGGTCTCCACAAAAAGCTTTGACCCACGAAGATCTGGTTTAAACGAAAAACAGAACCCGGCTTAGGTCACCCGAGTTCAATCCAAGCTACCCACAGGGAAACTCGTAATCACCTGGGAACTTCAGAAGGTTCCTCGTCAATCCATCCAAATGAAGGGGAATGTTCGCCTGTTGGCAGTGTGATGCCAAAATCTCAAACGTCGCATCAAGCTGAGCCGGAAAGTTGCTACCCTCCACGAGTTCGTAGTCTGCAAGGACAACCTGAAGTGATTTTCTTATACATGGTACATCCTGATAACATATACAAAGGCCTATGTATAGGTTGTTTATACCGATACTCTGGTTTGCAAAAACTTTGGGATTCGGGATTCGCACTATGCCTCCAAGCATCTAGTCCACTACCAGCCAGTTCAGCAAACACACCCTTGTGTAGGGTATGGAACAAGTCGAATCTGTGCATAGTTTCTTTCCTTGCAGATTGTGGTATCCTGCATAAAGGGCCTTCGGTAGTCCATGGAAGACAGGTAAGGTATGAGGATCTCCAGGCAGCATTCGGCGAATAATCATATGGTGGATAGGCGGTTTCCCCAGCTCTACAAAGATGGCAAAACCCGCTTGTGTTCGTAGTCTTCAGAACACCCTTCTTGGCAAAGTGACGTGTCAAGTGGCCGATTCGTGCCTGCACCGGCCAGTCGCCTTTCAAGCCGAGGGTAGCCACATACATAGTCATTGTTTCCTTGCCAACTTGAAGTGATATCCCATCGGTAAACAGCTCCTTTAGCTCATCAGCCAAACATTCCAGAATCGAATCCAACACGAACCGCTTTTTCTTGGAATATGCTTTTTTGTGCACACTGTATACAAGAACCTGGTCGCATAAGTAGATCCCTTGTAGTTCACAGCCATGGCATCCTCAATGTCATCGGAAGTGGATATTCCAAACCCCATAGGGGACTGAAAGTTGATGATCATGATACCACTCTTTTTAAGGGTTTCCCCTTCGTCGGCGTGAATCTGCAATGGCAGCACTCGATCAAGATGCCGGCTGTGCTGCTGGAAGACGGAATGTCCAGCATCCTGCATGCGATAGCGGGCCCAGAATTCAGTAAGTGTTGCACATCGGGATTTCAAAGTCTTGCTACCGCAGAAAAGCGGCAGGTTCTCGTTCACAGCCAATGCTTGTAGCATGTCTGATACCTTTAGCACGGGATGCTGCTTTGCCTTGCCCACATCAATCTGAGTCAACGGAACTGCAAGAGCCAAACCTTGCTTCTCAAAGCTTTTGCCCGATTGGTTCTCGTGTCCCGTCTTACACTGACGTCGTAGATCAGAAAGTAATGAAGAGCTGGCAAGATCATCTGCAACATCAAGGTCAGCATCACGGCACTCATCCATAAAGCCAGCAGCGATACTACAGAGTAGTTTGTCGGATACCTGCAGGGGATGGGTGGGGTTTCTTAATGCAACGAACTCTTCTTAGCCCAGGAGATCTAAATTTAGACGTGTATTGGGGTTTCTACAGGGCATCAGGTCCTAGAAAGGACATAACCGGATCATACCAACCAACTATGGGTATGCTTGTTGGAGTCTTCTTGCCTCTAGGCTTTTACACAAACGGTTTTGAAGGTTTTGATATGTTGGGATTGTTTGGGAGGTTTAGGTTCAAGCTAAGATCGAAACCCCTAAATATGTTATGAGTACCCTGAGACTAACGATTACGTGGATTGATTATTTTTGTTGGGCCCCTGCACCCCTGATCCCCGAGCTTTCGCCAAAGCTTTCGATGCAGCACCATGCTCCAGCGGCTGCTTCTTAGCACCTGCGTGGGGATCGCTTCGTGTTTAATGCAAAACCAGATTCGGTAAATATGAGGCATTGCAATTTGGCTCCATTTCTGCACTCTTCATGTTGAGGCCCAAGATGCTTCCAGAATTGCAGCATGCTCATAAGAAGCATGGATACACTCACTGACATGAACACATGTCATACGCAAGCCTTGTGGCCATAGGAACGAACTGTTCGTCCTAGGCTCGAAGAGCTTGCCCCCCGGGGCTCCATGGACTAGCGATGCTATGTAGGCACTTATCACATAGACCCTAATTATGAGCCTGTAGCACTCTCCACGGGCAAGCTACTTCTTCGGCTTCTTTCCAGCGGCTTTAGCAGTCCCCTTTGGGGCTGCCTTAGCCTTAGCTTTCGGCTTGCCTTTTCGGGGCATCTTCATCTTCACTCTTTTCAGCATCATCATCATCATCATCGGGGTCCTTTGCTGCCTGCTTGGCTTTGGCTTTAGTCTTCATGGAACCCTTGCGAAGAATTGTCCTGAGCAGACAAAGGGTTCCGGCGTGAACAAACATAGGTTCTATCTTAACACAACAGGAAAACTAAAGTGCATCCTAAGATTCCTCTTCAGCTTCTTCTCTTCCATGGTAAATCGGCTCGACCTCGAAACCAAGGTTGGATATGGATTGGGAGACCGACAACAACGAGCAGAGAGGCGAGTTCTAGCAGTAAGCCAGGGCACAGCTTCTCCAGCTCAAACGACTTCTTCGAGATCTTGTCCAGGATCCTTAGATCATGGAACAGATACAAACACAAAGCTGTGATGGATTCACATTATGGGTGCATGAACATATGTAGGATAGGGTTCTCCTTCTCCGGTACGGTGGTTGGGCCGTGATCTGCTTTGATCTCGGCGAGCTCGTCGTGGACTTGCATCAACTTCTCGGCGTGCTCGGACACGGTTCCGAGGGCCCTTAGTCCAAGTGAAATAGAAGTTTAAAGGTAGTTAGAAGTGAAGCGAAGGCAAGTAGCTTCTTGGATTCATCATCCTTTTTTTCTTGAGGTCATCCATCGTAGCATCCATCTTGATACGAAGCTTCAAGATCTCGTCGAGCATCCCCGGGATCCTTTCGACATCCTGTTTAACAGCTTGTACACAATGTGCACACACTTGTTCGAAGCACGAATGTGTAATTACCCCCCCCCCCCCCAGTAAGCCTCCAAAGCTCGCTCGATTTCCTCCTCTTTGTTCTCGCGTTTTTTTCTCTCGGCCCTTCTGAGCACATCCCGTGACTTTTCGGATCGAGTCTTTGGGCTCGGCGTGCTTTTGTTGCTCTTGCTCTTCTTCGTTTTCTTCTTCTTGTTTTGCTTAGCTTTGCTTGTGCTCGGGGTCTGATCCTGGCATTCCTCGTCGGAACTCGAGTCTGCATCCTCTTGATCGGAATCAGCATCGTAACACGGTTTCGGGGAGCTCTCGAGCAGGGGGACTGGCAAGCTGCAGTCCGGGTCCAATATCTCGATGCAATGATTGAATTGCTCCCGGTGCGTATTCGACAGGCTGCCGACCGTAGAGACATCGACCCAATATTCCCGGATGTGGCTCTGGTACTTGTCCTTCCTGCATGGAACAGAAAAGAGGCTCTATGTAAGAACGACAGCCAAAAACCCACTGCTGCAGGCCTTGTCAGCTCCTTCTTGCGGGCTCTGGTCTTGGTGCAGTACTTCACCACGGCGGCGATTCGCTCCCTGGGACACTCACGGCAGCATTGAGAACCGAATAGACGGACATGCTCACTAATTACGATCGAGTTTCTTGCTGAAGTTGAGCTCACTCTTCATGGTTGCCTCCGTGTAGAAGCCACTGTTGATGATCACTTTGCCTTCCTTTGTGCTGGAGATGACGAACTCCATTCGCTGATTGAAAGAGTCCTCAGTTAGTTCACGTGATTGTGCGACCATGGATACAGCGGCTGCTGATAGAATTGATTGTGTAGATCAACACTATAAGTTCGTGCCACGAATCCTTGTCACCCTTACAGGAGATAAGAGCCACTAGCAGCTGCTTCCTGGCTTTCGTGCACCTCCACTTTGCGGCCACCTCGTTTGAAACCTGCAAGGTTCCTCGCTTTGAGGATGGCCGACACATCCTGCGAAGCTTGGCTTCGTAATTGCGAAGCTGCCCCTTGGTGATCTGGATCTTCTTTTGAGCCTGGGGAAGGGCTTAGGGTCTAGGGCTTGTAGGGCTTAATGTATATAAGGGCTACAAGGGTTTGGAAAGGGTTTAGGGGGGACGGTGTTATTGGCATATGTGGTGGGTGTGTGCGTGTGTGTGTGTGTGTGTGCGCTCCTATAGATACAAACATGTATACATGTGTCGTGCGTGAGGTTTCTTTGTGTGTATATATATATGACTGTTTCTGTATGTCTGCATGTTGTAGACAATTATCAAGAACCCCTGTTATGTGTATGTGTCTATGCATATATACATACATATCCCTCCCATACAGAACACATTTTTATGTGCAAAGGCCTTGCCCTCCTGCTTGGGTTCCTCGGAGTCGGAGCTCGATCCAGGGCTTGGGCTGCGGGATTTTCTCTTGGCTGGGGTGATGCTCTTCTCGGCGGATAAAGGGCTTCGGGCTCTTCTGGGGGTTCTGGTCTTCTTGGCTGGCTTGGGGCTTGGGCTTCGGCTTCGGGCTCTTCTGGGGGTTCTGGTTTTCTCGGCTGGCTTGGGGCTTCGGCTCCGGTCTTTGCGGGGGGTTCTGGTCTTTTCGGCTGGCTCGTGGCTTCGGCCTCTTCTGGGGGACTTCTTGGGTCGGGCCTCTTGGCTTGATTTTTCCTTGGGGGTGCGGCGTCTTGACTTCTTCGAGGATTTGGCTGCAGGGGACGGGCACACTTTGTCGGGCGCAACCGACGGGGAAACGAAAAGACGTCGCTTCGGCAGGGGAGACTCAGCAGTGCCGGCAGCAGCATCAGGCCCCGACACAACCGGATGCTCCGTAGGCTGCATAGTCTGAGGCACTGGTTCGTCAATCAAGGTATCACCAATGGCCATTCCCCAATATGGGTCATCTATGCCCACCCCCTCTTCATCTGGCACCTAAGAGCTCACGAAACCGAAACTGATACAATACAAGCTCCACATGTGTGCACCATTTGAGGCAGCCGGGCTGCCGTCGGCGACAAGCATTCCTGCTCCTTCACTGACAAGCTGTCCGAGCTGCACTTGTGGAGGAGCTCTCGCAGCTCTCCATCATCCTTGGCAAACAGAACTTACATCAAGTGGCTTAGGGCTTTTCGGGTTGTTCGGGCTTCCATTTCGAATCGGCTTATTCAGGATGGGACATTCAGGCCTTAAGGTTTAGGTTGAGGGTTTAGGTTTTAGGGTTTATAGGGTTTAGGGTTTAAGGTTTAGGCGTTCAGGTGTAGAGTTGAGGCCTCAAGGTTCGGGGTTTAGACTCCAGGGTTTAGGGTTTATAGGGGTCTAGGGTTTAGGGATTATAGAGGTTTAGGGGTTAGGGGTTTAGGGTTTAGGACCATAGGGGTGTAGGGTTTAGGGTTGAGGGCCTACAGCTACACTATATACAGGGTTAAGATAGGGTTGGAGAAGGGTACACAATAAAACACACATAATCACATATACGTGTAATTACATGTATACATGCATAAATTCATACATACATATACATTCACACACACACATACACATGCATACATCGCATACATTGCATACATGCATGCATGCATGCATGCATACAGGCATACATACATACATACATACATACATTCATTCATTCAGTCATTCATCCATACAGTCATACAAATATATGTATATATATATATGTATATGTATATGTATATGTATATGTATATATATAT